TTGTTGGATAAATTCAATTCCAAGAAGTAATTTTCCAAATAAACCAGATACTGTTGTCTGTGAAAGACATTTTCCAGAAAATTTTTTAACAACTATTGTCAATGGGAAAGTTAGTCCTTCAAACTTTTATAACCAAGGTCCACTACTAAAATGTTGTCTTCTATCAGAACTGAAAAGTGTGATGAGTTGTCGCAATAACGATTTGTTTACATTCATTTTTTTATGTAAAGATAATAAAAATCGTATATTTATTTGTCCTGTAACAAATTTTGTTATAAATGATGTCTTGCACATCCAATCAAATTCCTTTTATGTTAACTGTATACCTATGTTTGCTGTTCATATCTCAAGCAATTTTAAATTTGAAAGTTTTCATGTTGGTGTTCATTGTTTTATTTCTTCACTATCAAAAAATCGTATAACATATCTTGATTGCTGGTCAAGAGTTGAAAAAACAATTCGCTTTTTGAAAAACATTGAAATTGATCATCAAAAGTTAGTATTACAAGATCTTATTACATCTATGATTGCATCAGAAGTAGGTAAAAAAATTATAATGTAGAAACTATAATCAGGTCTATTGTTATTTTTCAACATCTTGAAGCTTATACAATCAGGTACGAAAAGATTTTAAACTGCCAAGTGTAAAAACATTAACAAAAATTACATCTATGACAAAAAGAGTTTTAGATATTGACTTTATTAGTACCATTTTTTGAAATTTAGAGGAAAAACATAGAAATTGTATACTTTTGGTGGATGAAGTTTATGTAAAGTCTCTTCTTCTTTATCACAGTGGTTATCTTTTTGGAAAAGCGGAAAATAATCCAGAATTGTTAGCAAATAGTGTTTTGGGTATTATGGTTAAATGTTTAAAAAGTGGACCATCTTTTTTATGCAAAATGATACCTGCCTGTCATTTGGATGCTTCTTTTAGTTTGAGCAAGTATGCTATGTCATTAATTCAATTAAGTCTAGCAATGGAAAAGTAATTTCAGTTATTTGTGATGGCAATCGAACAAATCAAGCTTTTTTAAATTATTTGAGAGAGTTGAAGGAAAACCAAGGTTAACAAAATGTGGAATTTTTCTCCTTTTTGATTATGTTCATCTACTAAAAAAATTTAAGGAATTACGGAAATTATTACGGAAAGGATAACGGAAAAAATGCAGGAATTACAACTTGAAAAAAACCAAAATTTGACTGCCAAGTGGAGTGACCTTAAATGTATCTTAGATTTTGAGAAAGATCAGCTAATTAATTTATCAAACTAAATTGTCTAGCTATACATCCAAAACCCATTGAAAGACAGAAAGAAAAAAAATCACATTGTTTAAGAGTATTTTGCGATGAAACTATAGCTGCTCTTAAAACTTATTCAAAAGTTATCCACCCTTGCAATTAGAATGAAACCATTAGTTTTTTAGAAAAAGTTACTAAATTTTGGAAAATTGTAAGTGTAAAAGAAATTTATGGTGATATGCAATTTTTAGATTCTCGTAAAAGAGTTCTTTCTGAAGAATTAGACATAAATTTGCAGTACTTACTTGATTTTGGAGATATGGCATTTAAAATGAGTGCTGAACAAGGTCATAGAATGAAATCTTTAACTAAAGATACAGGTACTTCAATTTGGCATACATGTTATGGAGTCATCAAGATATGTGAATATTTGCTAAAAAACAACTTTGAATATGTTATGTTAGGAGAGTTTTCAACAGACTACATTGAAAAAGCATTCAGTAAGTTTAGGCAAGGTTCAGGTGGAACATACTTTATAACAGTTAAAAATGTTGTTGAAAAGGATTATTTATATATATATATATATATATATATATATATATATATATATATATATATATATATATATATATATATATATATATATATATATATATATATATTAGGCTTAGTCAGGAAAGCATGCGATGGCACGCCTTTATATGACCACACAAATAATACTTTATTTTGACGATTTGACCTTGATTTTTAACATCTTAAAAATGCGCTGAAAAAAATTATTTTTAATTACGTCGAAAATAAATAACTTTAAAACTTTTATCTTTACTTACGTTTTTATATTAGCAAAATGCTTTTAAATAAAGTTACTGTTAACGTTTTAATTTAAAGTATAAATGAAAACTGTATAAATTTTTATTTATATTATTTAAATATATATAAGATTATATAAGTAATAAATAAAATAATATATAATATTTTTTTATAATTTATATTATTTATTTTTTAATTATTTAAATTTTATAAGCAACGAGTTTAAACAACGATCGTCTCTTTAATAAACTTTATTTAAGAATCATTTAAGTAAAAACACTTGAAAAGATTTTGTTAAGAAGAAAAAAAGACAAACTTTTGAATTAAAGACAGCCGTTTGAATTAAATAACTTTGATCTTTACTAATGTTTTTATATTATTAAAACGCTTTTAAATAAAGTAACAAGTCACTGCAAATGATTTTTTACATGAAGTATTAATGTATTTTTTTTAGTCTTTAAATAAAAAATTATTAATTAAAGTTAATATAATCAAAGTATAACAAACTTTTTTTGCAAGAATGTAATTTAAAAAAGATCTATATATATATAAAAATTTTTATAATTTTTTTTTCTTTAGTCTTTAAATAAAAAAATTAAATCTAACAATTTAAATAGCAATCAATTAAAGCTAACAAATTAAACTATGAACAAATTAAATTAAATTATCAAATAAAGGAATAGTTTTGTTCATTATTTTTAATTTTCATCTTCATTTTTTTTCCTTTGCTTTCTGACATTTTTGACAAAAGAAACAGTTTAATTATTTTTCTTTTGTTTACATTACTACAAAGAATTGTAAAGTTTTTTTTGTTGTTGCTATCTTTTAAATGTGCATATTTATCAAAAAATAATTGGAAGTTGTTACTTTATTTAAAAGGGTTTCGCTTAGTCTATATAATTAAAAAAAAAAAATGTCACTTTTGTTCGTAAGTCAGTTGTCATTTTTGTGATACGCGTGTTTATTAAAAAAAACGTTGGATTTCAGTTTTAGAAGGGAAATAGATCAAAAATTTATTGTGCATGAATTAGTTTCCCTTTTGACCCTGTTTACTAGACTATTGTCTACATGTTTTAAATCTCGTTTATTTGGACAGGTTCAACATTGGTTTGGAATTATTTAAAGAGTTAAAAAAAGATGAATGATGACACCTGAAATACTACAATTTATCTTGGAAATGATTAATAGTGACAATTCATCTTGGAAGTATGAAATCACCATTAATCTTGGAAATATACTGGAAAAAATAACTCTTTTAAAATTATTCCATTATCTATTTCACAAAAAAATGAACCTTACAACATAACTGTTTAATTTTCAATTAGAGCTCATTCCTCCACAGAATATGAATTGCAATTGTGCAATTATATAGCAATAAAACTCTTATTTAAAAATGACTATGAAACTTAACTTATAAAACATATTATCTAACATAAAAACATACAAATATAAAGTTTCTAATAGCTATTGTATCTTTTAACTCTTTATAAAGTTCCTCAACATGTTATGGAATATTTTTGTTCTGAAATTGAAGTTGCTGCTATGGAATATTATTATTATGGAATTGAAATTGCTTCTGGAATATTCTGTTATGGATATTTATTAATAATAACTCATTCTTTATTATTATATATCTTTGATATTTTTATATAAACTCTTTACAATAGAAATAAAATCTTTACACTAGAAGTTGTAACAAATTAAAAAACAATTAACGGGTTAAAAGTTCAGGAAAGTAAAGAAAAATTTTTAAACTTACCCGAATTTTATTAAGAACTCCATTTCGTTCAAGTGTTTCAGCAACAAGATCTCGTAGTTCTGTATCCTCTTCAGCACTCATTTTACTTTTTTCCTAAAAAAGCTATTTTAAAAAATTATAAATATTTGAAAATAAAATAGAAAATTACTTATTTTAAGAACAAGATAATGTTTCAAATGTATCAAAAACTAGAATTATCAAAGAGTTTACAAGAGTTTACAATATTCAATAAAAATTCTTGAGATATTTTGATATCATTATATAAAACATTTTGGCATATTTATAATTAAAATATTTATGAAAACTCTTAAAATGTTTTAGGTACAAAAACTGTGTAAAAAAAAGACAAATAATTTAAAATGATATTTAACACTCTTTGATATTTATTTTTTTATTTTAAGTTTGAATTGTTTAAAAACAGTTTTTAAACTTCAAAAAGTTTTCATGACAAACTAAGATTTTTTTTTTAATGATTGTTGTTATTACAATTCCCCCTTTAAATGTGAAAATAAATAAGGGATCCATACCCGTTTTTGTTATTAGCTTGATTAATATTATAAAGTTTTTATGTATTGTTTTGTTCTCTTGTATAAACTGTATGTAATCCCTGTAAAGTTGTAACTACAAAAATAAACCATATAAAACAAAGCTATTAAAATATAAAACAAGAAAATCTAGTAATTAAATTTCAAGTAGCCAAAAGCTATTGTTGTAATAAAAAAATAATTTAATTTAAAAAGCCACACAAAAAATTATACAGAGAATGTTAATCAAACTTATTATATTTTGTAATAACCAAAACTAATTGTATAACCAAATCAAGCTATACAAAAATGTTTGAACTTTCTCAGAAAAAGAAGACACAAATGTTAATTATTACACTGACTTTTATTGACAAATAATGTTGTAAACAACAATTAATTGTTGAGAGGCAATTAAAGAACCTACAAATTTACTAAATAGGTTTATAAGTATTAAACAGACGGCAGGATATAATAAGAAGCAAAGAAACACCAAAGTCAAGCCAAATATATTGGAATAAATAAAAATAACTAATATATAAATATACTCATGTTTTAAGCTAAATAGTAATATTAGCTAAAATCATTCTTATCCATAAACGAGGTTCTCTGATGGACTACACAAATCATCAACCAATTTCTATTCCAATATCAGCAAAGTATTTGCAAAAGCCATGCACAACAGACTTTATAACTTTTTTAACAAAAAGCAATGTCTTTTTAATGGCTTTTTAATGCTATTTAAATTTTTAATGGCTTTCTATTTTGCTGGTGACACCATCTTACTCATAACAAACAAATCGTTAAAAAAAATCTACAAACATATTAATTATGATTTATCTTATCTACTTCAATGGCCACGCTGTAACAAATTAAGTCTTAATACCAGCAGAACTGAACTCATCATTTTCAAAACAAATCAATCTAAAATCTACAAACACCTAAACTTCAGACTAAGTGGCCAAAAATCTTACCCATAGTTTCATTAAAATAACTTAGAATCAAAATTGACTCAAATCTTTTTTCTCTCATTTTTAAAACTTAGCAGTAAAATTGTGTAGATCAAATAGGATGCTAGCTAAATTGTGCCTTTATGTCAATTATGAAACTCTACTCAATAAATACTACACAATTTTCTGATCACATTTCAAATATGCTTGTCAGGTTTAAGTACACGCTAGTCTCATGCTTTTTTAAGATTATCTAACTTACAAAACAAGGCTTTAAAAACAATATACTTTAAATAATATTATTCTAATTCTGACTTTCTTAACTTTCTATCAAAAATACTTAAACTATGTGATCTTGTTCATTTATTAATTTGTCTATTTTCTCAGAATCATAAACAAGTAAAACTCCCTCCCTCATTGTCTAATCTTTCAACCACTAAAAAAAGGTCTCGTTATAATCTTCAATCTTTCAGTAACTTATAAGTATCTACAACAAATTATTGTTTGTAAAATATGGTGATAATTACAAACCAATACATAAAATCGTGGAATAACCTTACCTCTTCATCTTTAATCACTTAACTCTATATAACAATTTAAAAACTGTCATTTTGCCTAATTGTTAGAAAAATACCCTATGTAGTCTACATAAAATATTTTAACATTATAGAATTTACACATCGTAGAATGTAGGCTCGTTGTGGATTATTATTGTTATTGCTATTATTGTTATTGTTATATGTGATATACTGATATTATATGTGATATACTTATATGTGATAACCCTGACAGATATGGTTTACACTTTATTTATATTTTCAGTATACTCATTATTATTTATTAATATTATTATATCATTATTGTTATTAACAATAATAACAATAATAATAATAATAATAATAATAACAATAATAATAATAAGTTCTTCATAAAGTTGATCGTTATTTGGCTTTTATTAGGTTATTGTTAGCAATCGTATGATTGTCAAAATTGCAAATATATATTAATAATATTATATTATAACTATAGCAGAACTATAATAATATTATATCAAAATTACAAATATAAATTAAATACATATTTGCAATTTCGATATATTAATATAGTTCTGCAACCGGAGATATAGGGGTAATAAAAAGTTAAACAGCCTTTAGGCTAATAAAGATATTCTATTTTTATTCTAATAAAGATTTTTTATTTCAAAAGAACGGAGTATTCACCGTTTTTTTGAAATAAAAAATAGAGAAGTTTTTTTTGAAATAAAAAATAGAGCATAGAGACGCGTTTCAGTAAAATAATAACAATAATAATAATAAATGATAAAATATTTATAATTATAAGTTCAATTTGTTATTAATAATAATAGCCACTAATTATAAAAAAAATATTTTCAATAATAATTATGAAAACAATAATAAAGATGTAATATTTTTAAATTCTCTATGAACAAGAGCGCACTTTATTTTCGGCCTATTATATTTTACGTTGGAAACGTAATAAACATTTAAGAGCCGTTTTCTGATTAAGTACTGTTAGCTCAAAAGTGATATCCTTTGATCGCGCTCAATTTTTTATATAGTAATAATAAAATGGCAAAAAAAAGCATGTAAATTTTTTTTTCAAAATATTTATAATTTATGAGTTATGGTCAGTCAAACTTTTCCCCGTTTTATACTTGAAAAGTCACTTTTGGGGTTTTATGACTTTTAAACTCAGATTAAAAACAATGAGACCACTGCAACTTAAGTTTCTTTTCATATTATGGAAGTATAGGTAGAACTTTAAAAAAAACAACCAAAAAACCTGAAGACAACTCTTGCCTTTGTCTAAAAATCATAAGCTGAAATCACACATTTTTGAATTTGGGGCCTATTTAAAATACATTTATCTCGGAATGTAAAATGTGCCCGTGGCGTATTTTATCCTTTTTAGAAAGAGTATCCCAGTGTTATTTGAATGGTTTAAGGTGGCTCAACCCTCTTAAAAATGTAAAAAAAAAAAAAAAAATCATATTTTTTTTATTGCTTCTTTAACTAGTTTAAGCATTGCAGATTCCAAAAATATGTCATTTGAGATAAGTTATACGTTTCATCATAAAGAAATTTACATTTTTATGGTGTAGGGTTTAAAATGTTATCCATAGCAACACCTTAGCAACCGTGTCAGCTTTGTTTTATCTGCCCATTTTTTGACAAAAAACTTATAATTCGAACAACAAAATGCATTTTTTACTTTGTTTACTTTGTTTTACGGCATTCTGTTATTTACAAGTTATAGTTTTCATTTTAATGATGACATTTAATTAACAATAAGTAATGTTGTTTATGTTGTGTTGAAGTCAACACAGTGGCTTCATCCAATATTTTTTATCTATCTTAATAATACAAATAACTGCACTTGTTCTTTATATGTTTATAGAGTGATTAAATATGGGTAATAATAAAAATAAAATAAGATTAATCAGAAAAAGACATAAAGACATTTTCATCTAACAGATATACATGTGCTACAATAAATCAAATTGATAAACCAATAGTAAAGGAAGCTGTTTCATCATCAAAAATTAGTTTAGATAATTCACTTTTAACTGTTGAAAAAGAAGATTCTAACTTCTTTATAATAATTCACTTTGGAGTACTGCAAAGTTGTCTTCAACTTTTGAGTAGATGCCTAGAATGTGGCGACAAGGTCACTGTCAGTCTTGACCAAATAAAAAAATTAGGACTTTCGCATAACATTAAACTAGAATGTATATCTTGTGATTGGAGTTATAATTTTTACTTATCTCCTTCAATAAAAATAAACACATTCAAGAAGTCAATGTATGTGCTGTAATGAGTTTTCGCGAAATTGGTTGTGGACATGAAGCTTTAAAGACATTTGCTGGATGTATGAATATGCCACCTCCAATGACTTTTAATTCATATAAAAACATTAATAATATTTTACATAATGTTTATGACTTTGCTTCATCTAAATGTATGAAAAAAGCTGCAGACGAGATTACTTCTGATAACTTCTGCAAATACTGGTGCTTCAATACATCAACTTCCAGTTGATTGTGATATCAGCTTAGATGGAACATGGCAGAAGCGAGGATATTCTTCTTTAAATGGTGTTGTTTCATCTCCAAAGACAATAAAAAAGTTTTAGATGTTCATGTTATGTCTAAGTTCTGTAAGAGTTGTGCTCTCTGGAAGAAAAAAAAAAATACTCTTGAATATGAACATTGGAAAGCAAATCACCGTTGTGATATTAACCACTCAAAATCGTCCGGAGCAATGGAATCCGCGGGAGCTATAGAAATATTTCACTGATCAGTTGAAAAATATGGTTTAAGATACGCACACTACATAGGTGAAGGAGATACTGCCTCATTTAATGATGTAGTACAGTCTAAACCATATGGTGATGAGTTGATTCCCATTAAATGGGAATGTATTGGCCACATTCAAAAGCGCCTTGGGGCACGCCTGCGCAACAAAAGAAAAGAGTTAAAAGGTAAATTGCTCTCTGATGGAAAAAAAATTAATGGTAGGGGTAGGTTAACAGATTTAGCAATTAACACTTTGCAAAACTTTTATGGGATGGCCATAAGGCAGAATAAAGAACTACCCCTAATGAGGTGTGCAGTTGGTGCAGTTTTATATCATTGTTCTGACATAAATTCTGAAAGTCGCCATTTGTTTTGCCCTTGAACAACAAAGAGCTGGTGTAAATGGCAAAAAGATAAACTTGAAGGTACAAATACCTACAAAGCACATTTAAATTTGCCTCTGGCTTTAAAAAAAGAAATTGAAGGCATCTTTAAAGATCTGGCTCTGAAGATCTTCTGAAAAAGTGTTTACATGGGTTTACCCAAAACCCAAATGAAGCTTTAAACCAATTAATTTGGAATAAGTGCCCAAAGTCTCGTTTTGTGTCAAGAACTGTTTTAGAGATAGAAGTATATTCTGCTATCATAAATTATAATGAAGGTGTTATAGGACTTAATCGTGTATTTAAACTATTAAATTTGACTCCTGGGAAATACTTTTTTTTTTATGCAACAAAAAAGGACAGTACTCATATCAAACAAGTTAATAGTAAAATGAGCGAAAAAAAGAAAAAACAGGAAAAGTATGAGTGCATTAAAAAAAGGATTCTTTGACAAAGAAAAAGAGACAGAGGGTGAAACTTATAGTTCTGGGGCACACTAGTTTCATGTTTGTATACTATTTATTTCATTTTTAATTTTGTTTTTCATTTTTCTCAGAAATAAGTTTTTGTTATGTTCACTTAAATTCAAACAACAGTTTTTAGTACTTCTGTTTAACCGATTGACTTGAAATTTTTACAGAATTTTTTTTAATATTGGAACTAGGTTCTGAACTAAAAACAACTATTTAGAACAAATGGATCTTGTATAATCGCACTTTGATTTGCTAAAATGACCTTATTTTTTATTGCTCAAAAATAATTGTCAGCCATTATGGATTGGTACATTTTCAAATTTTGATTTTAGTTCAGAACCTTCTTTACTACTTTACCTTTATGCTGACAAAATTTGGTTCAAATATTATTTACAGATTTTGAGAAACTAATGTTTAAAATTTGATACTTTTTTAATAATTTTTGCTGATGCAACTTTTTTTTTCAGCATTTTTAAAAACTTTTTGTCAATTTTTTTTTTTCATTAAATATATCAACAGTAAACTTAGTGCAAAGACTTTTTTAAATTTTTAAAGAATTTAGAAAAAAAGGGGTAGAGTCACCTTAAAGAAACTGAGAGGATATTGTTTACAAAAAAACTTATGAGTCATCAAAGTGTCAAAAAATGTTTTAACCAGCGTTCAAATATCAGCCATTATGGAAAATGAGAAAGGTCCTAAGAATGAGAATACAGATTATATTTTACTACATTCTACAGTTTATTTGATGCAAAAAAAAAACTTAGGGGGTAGTATTAAATTGTTAAAATTATCTCACTTCAAAAAGTTAATTTTTTTTATATATTTAAAAAAAAACCGAATATCGCAGCGGAGTTAATCAATATATTATATTATTTCTTTATCTTGTTATATCATTGTTTGCGTTATAAATCAGTTTTACAAATCTTTACACTTATGTCTTTGATTTTAATGCATCGTTGCTTGAAATTCCTTTTGTGCTTTTTTAAATTGTTCATCTATAAGCTTATAGTCTCCGTGCTATTTTAACGGTAATGGTGGTAGAATTCCACAAATGATTTCACTGTCATTGTACTTTATAACATCAGGAAAAGCTGGCCACTTAAAAAGGTTCTTGTCTACAGAAGCATACTTCATACAGCTCACCATGTAACCATCACTGAGAACCTAATATGAGTAATGATTTTTCTAATTTGAAAAATAGTTTAAAAAATCGATATGATCAAATAATTAAAAAAAAAAAATGTTTTTCTTTGAATGGAAAACATTTTTTTTAAACGTTCAATAAAAATGAAGTACCTCATTTATAATACCAGGATACCAATTGCCCTTATAAATAACAACAATCCAATCGTTTTCATGCCATGCACAAGATAAATCAATGGCAATTCTTATAAATTCCTTTTCAAATTCTTCATTTGCTAATTCTTCTTGATCTACAGAGAGAAAAAAATAAATATTTGTACAAACATTTGTACAAATAATTACAAAATAATAATAAAATATTATTATTAATGAGAGTAAATATAAAATTATTACCTTGATTGGGATCTTGATCTCTTCTTTTTCTTCGTTATCCACATTAGTACTACCAACATCAATTGGTTCCCTTAATCTTTTGTCTTTTTTTAGCCTGCTCCAACGTGAAAATAGTGATCTTATTTGCTGAGTTGTTACGTATTCTGAGACTTTTTTTCCTGATACTTCACCTTCCATAAAGAGTTTATATAATATATCTTCTTGTCTCAAACTATATCGGTAGGTACTGCTTGAATGTGAAAAAACCAGCCTTTAAAATATTTGCTAATGTCAGAGCATACTTCTTCAAATACTTCCTGTTGAGTTTGGTTTATAACTATGTAAGTTTGACTGAGCTTGCATCTTCATTATGAAACTCTGTCTCACGTTATCCATTCCTGATTTTAAAGTGCTGATATTGTGCCTTCCCGATATCATATGTTCTTCTAGTTCTTCTGATGTATGTAATGATCCATTACAAATAGGCTCAGAGCAAACGTGAAACAAATTTAATGATCTATCTTCGCGAATTTTTTCTTTATATTGTCCTTAAAAACTCGTGTTTTCTTGCCAGTATCACTATATAGTTGTGTTAAAAACATTTGCAGATCAAAATAGACATTAGAATATACTTGAATAACTCCATCGCCAACTGTATAGTATCGCCACATCGTCATATAGTTTTGAAAAAACTCAAACGAATGGCACTGACTTATTTTAGCTATTTTTGTTCCACTCAACTTGCTTTTGCCCTTTATAGTGGCAACACCAACAGCAGAATTTTTCATCCCATGGCCGTAATGTAAAGCAGTATAAATGTCCTCTGCACACATTAAATCGTTACCAGCATCAACAAAGCTACGAAACAATGACTTTGCTCCGGCAGCTTCTCTGTCGCATTGATCCCTGCGACGACAAGGTTCGTTATAATCGTAGCGCTTAAGCTGTATTTGGTTATTTTCGCGCAACATAAAAAGAGCTTCCATTATAAAGTTTCCATGATACGATTAAGCATAGTCAGAATTTGCATAGAGTTTATTAATACCAGAATGGTCATGCTTAAACTTTGGAAGAACTAATTGATAGTGTTTCCGATAAACTTTGCTCACACCTATAAAGAGCTGTAAAATACACCTTTTTTTGTAAAACGTTGTTTTTCTTAGTAAAGAAAATGTCTACATGCAGTGACATCCCCTTTTTTCCAAAATATTCCTTTTGACCTTCCCTGAATTTGGTTGGTAGAACTTTTTGGCAATAGTCTTTCAACCAAAATCCAGATTCCTCATCAAGACTTTCAAAAGCAAAAACTTTGGCTTTTTTTTGTTGACAATCACGCATTAAATGCTTTTTATAATCAATGATATCTTTTTCAGCAATTTCAATATCATAAATATTATCCTCGTCGACTGAATTATTTGATGCTAATCTTTTTAGTTCAACTAAGGATTTCTTCAATTTTCACACTCATAACAAATCTTATCATTCGGTGTTATTGAAATCAATCTTTTGTCTCACTCAAAGCAAATATTGGGCAGTGGGAGATAGAATCAAGGTATGTCGCACTGCAATTAAACTGGAAACTAGTTTTGTAATATCGTTTGCTACGTTCAAACATAATACTCAGCTCTCTATCCTTGTACTTCAAAGATAAATCTTGCATCATAGAGAAATCATTCATACCTGCAGCAGTAATATCATCCAGTCCCGCTAAACATTTTTGTTGAGATGGTTTAACAGCATGAAGTATTCGCCACAAACTGCTATGCGATAAAGGAGAATAATTCTCATTTCTGCAAACTTCATTATAAAATGCAATTGTATGACTGATTTTAATTGTCAAAATTGTACGAGATATTTTATATAGATCATTTGAGTCAAATTTAATTTTTGTAACTCCATATGCAATATCTTGAAGAAAGCCGCTGTTAAATATGAAATCGAGGAAATGTTCAGCTTTTTTCTGGTCTAGCCTATTTCGCGTAATTCTTTTTCGACAGGAATAGTTATACCTATGTTTGCATTTTTCATTTTTCGTACCTGGTCTATCTTGTATTTGGAGCACCTGAAAACTTTCATTAGCAACTTCTAAGTAAATTTTTCATGTTTAATCAAGCACAGAACAATATGTTTTCCCATAGAGTCACTTTCTTCATAAACTTCAACCAACTTTTTTAGATCATCAGGTACTACATCAATGTCTGAAGCTTCCAAAGATCTTTTTAAAACAATTGAGATAAAGTCTTCACTCTGATCTGGGACAACAGCTTCAGCAAACCTCTTTTCAAGCTGTACCTTGGCTCTTTCAAATTTTCTTCGTAAATTATTTTTTGTTCCATTGCTGAGATCAGACCTCTTTTTGTTTATTATCTGAAACTGAAAAGGGCTGATGTGAAGTGCAACTGATAGGTTGTTACCAGTAATTGTAGCACCTTCAACTTTTTCTCCAGCAAGTAAAATTTCTTCAGGCTCAAAATTAAAATCAGTTGTGTCTTCAACTAGCTCTTCGTTAGCGACAGTACTTGTTTTAGTTTGATTTAGAATGCGCTCTGACTTTCGGTGGTTGTGACAAAATACGGAACCTACTGGAACACTTTTGTCGTAATGTTTTGAAACATTTGTTGACATATTTATTGAAATACTTCTTACAGCAAATGATTTTTTACCAACACTTAATTTATGCATTGGATGACAGCATCTTCCTTGGAGGAACCCAATCAATACCTTGAATTTTAACAAAAATCAAAATTTAAAATATTTATTTTAAAGGTTTAGTAATTAATTTTTTTTTTTTGAAATACGGTTGTAAACAAATACTTACCAAAGTTAAATCTATGGTAAGGGCATATATAGTCGTTATCAGAAATTGATATGCACCCTCGGTTTTCTATAAGTGATTTTTCTGTCCATTCCGTCTCTTGGTGTCTCTTTAAAGCCTAAAAAAATAAAACTTATGTTGTTGTAAATATTATGCAAAGTTTTTTTAAAACTGCTAAGAGCATTTCTTACTTTGATTTTTACAAAGTGTGCTTTGACATCTAATGTCAGATCTTGTATCTTGAATAACCTTTGTTCATTTAAACGAGGATATGGTCCACACTTGAGATCATTAACTTTGCAAACATTTTCAACAACAACCTCTAGCTCTGACATATTTTTTGCAACTAAGTGTTTTTTTTTTAAAGTGTATTTAGCACAGGGTTGCCAGGTTTTTTTTCGCGCACAAGCCAAAAATGAAACAAAAATAAACCAGAAATAAACCAGACCAAAAAAAAAAAATCATAGTTTTTTGTTTTAAAGCCTTGTTTATAATATATATTTTGAAAAAATGCTTTTTTATCCAAAAATTTCATCCTTGAATATTAAAATTTAATTTGTAAGAGAGTGAGGAAAGAGGAGAAGAATGACTTAGTGAATGTTTAATGGGACGCCCATCCAGCCTTCAAAGCGGCGTGAGGAAAGTAGTTTACTCCCAAACACCTATACAAAATCTGACACTATCAACCTGTAAAATATATAAATTTTTTTCGCTTGCATATGGATATAGATTTCTTTTCAAACCTTTGCAATAATTGACTCAATTATTTCAAAGTCCTAGTAAAAATTCTTTTGCCTTATTAAATATGATTTGATCCAAATAACTGCATGCAAGGCTTGGTTTGATATTTTCTTAGTCTGATTTATATGCAGATGAACTGTGAGAAGACTCAACAAAATAGTTAGAAACAGAACACATAGACAGCCACGGCAGTAAGCATCTATATTACAGAGGTCTAATTCTCTAATGATGCAATGTCAATTAATTTATGATTAATGACAATTTCTGTAATGATTTTCAATTTCTTCACTTTTTGCATCCATAAGATGAAACTGTAGATTTGAAATGGCCTTTTCAATTTGAGAAACTACATTCGTTACAGGTAGATTTTTAACAAAAAAATGTAATTTTGAATGTAAGAATTTTTTTATATTTTTGGCAATTAAGGGATAAAAACAACATTTTAATTACATTACAAGTAAAAGTTTTTAACGTTTTAAGATTTTAATGTAAGCATTTCTTCCATTTATTTTAAACTTAATTGTTTTTCTATAAAATGAAAAAATGGAAATCTTTCTTTCCCTCAAATTAACTTTTTTCATGAAACAAAAACTTAATTAAATTGATTTATTATTAAATAAACCAGAATTAAACCAGATTTTAAAAAACATATCAGAAAAAAAAAAAAAAAAAAACTTTAAAATAAACCAGATTTAAACTAGATTTTCTAAAATAAACCAAAACAAAAGTTCCAAGCGAAACGATAAAAAAACAAACCAGATTTGAGAAATCTGGCTTTAAAAAACACCAGATGGCAACCCTGATTTAGCATAAAATGCTCATTCTCTGTTCTGAATAATTCAGAAGTAAATCCTCAATAAAACATACTGAAAAGAAATAATGCCTAACAATAGTTATGTTCAAATAATTATGCTCAAATAAACATCAAGTCAAAAATCTTTATTAGAAGAAAAAAAATTTTTAAGTCTTCAATCGTAAAAATTATTTAAAAAAATCAGATTTAGCATCATTTTGACGTAAAGTTATTTCAACAATGTAATATTAACCCCTAAGTTTTTTTTTTACATCAAATAAACTGTAGAATGTAGTAAAATAAAATCTATATCCTCATTCTTAAGACCTCTCTCATTTTCCATAATGGCTGATATTTGAACGCTGGTTAAAACATTTTTTGACACTTTGATGACTCATAACTTTTTTTGTAAACAATATTCTCTCAGTTTCTTTAAACCATTCAAATAACACTGGGATACTCTTTCTAAAAAGGATAAAATACGCCACGGGCACATTTTACATTCCGAGAATGTATGATTTAAAATTTAAAATGTATTTTAAATAGGCCCCAAATTCAAAAATGTGTGATTTCAGCTTATGATTTTATGACAAAGGCAAGAGTTGTCTTCAGGTTTTTTGGTTGTTTTTTTTAAAGTTCTACCTATACTTCCATAATATGAAAAGAAACTTAAGGTGCAGTGATCTCATTGCTTTTAATCTGAGTTTAAAAGTCATAAAACCCTAAAAGTGACTTTCCAAGTATAAAACGGGGAAAAGTTTGACCGACCATAACTCAGAAATTATAAATATTTTGAAAATAAAAATTTACAGGATTCTTTTTAATATTAAAAAACAACACAATGTGTAAAATTCAGAATGATTAAAAGATATCACTTTTGAGCATTACCTGGTTTTCTCAGAAAATGGCTCTTAAATTTCATTGTTTAATTTTTTTTTTTTAGTTTTGAAACTTTTTATTTACATTTTTATTTGTACTTTGTACATCTACCAATCTAAGTCTAAACACTACTAATTTAATTTAAAAACTATTAATTAAAAATAATATGGTAACTAACAGTGCCGAGGCTACTAGGTCCGAGGTCTCCCAACAAAACCTGTCTCAAGGGGCCCAAAATTTAAAAAATTTTTATATTACATATAACTCAAAAAAAAAAGCTCCTTAAATTTACAAAAGGGCCCCCTCAAACTAGTAAAACTTTCCCCCCCCCCCCCCTTTAAAATAGAGATTGTGGGGAAGGTACTGGTTACTAAATTACTTATTATAAAATTATTTGGTAATTATACAGCACTTTTTAAAAAAGTAGTGCTCTAAAAAAGTTTATTCTACCAAGATTGCAAGGTATGAAATTATATGAAAAGCCATCTTGTCTCATTTGCCATCCTGCCCTTTTTAATTATTCGTCATCTTACCCTGTTCTTTCCTTGTAAAAGACACACAGGTACATATTTTTTTAACACTAAAAGCGTGCTCCTAACAAATTTTGTAACAGTGTACAATATTGATATAATACAAATAAAAAAATTTATATAACATAATAACAAAAAGATATATAATTTACACAAACATAACATTTCGAAATTGTATAAGTTAATACTTAATAATGACTCTTAAAGATGTTAATATTTCTAACATTAATCAACATCGAAAGGCAACTGATTCCAGATGTTAACTACTTGGTAAGAGAAACTATGTTTGCGAATATTTAGTCAACATTGTTATTTGCGCATCTTATATTTATTCTCGAGTGTTGTTTTTGTTTTAAATAAAATTGATTGTGCAAATTATGCAAAACTTTAAAAGCAATTTAATGAGTCATGTTTTAATTGCCTAGTCTCAAGCAACTCTAAGTTAAACAACTAAAGTTGACTTTAGTAAATTAAAAATGCAGCCGTAGCACAGTGGTTAGCGCGTTTGCCTCAGAAACTAGAGATCCGTGGCTAAACGCCACCTCTGGGCAACTTTTATAACATCGGTAAGGAAGGAGGCGTGAACTTCTTTTCAGATGCTCCTCCGCGGTGCTCTATGATGGAGACCGTTAGGACTTCTAAGGGCATCTAAAACAAATTAATAAAAAAAAAAAATTTCTTTGAGCAGGGTTTTTTTGTGAAATGTTTTTGCACGCTCTTAACTTTCTTCATTAATTATATATGATGAGGTGAACAAATTGGAGAGCACCATTCTAATATATGTAGTGAATATTCTTACTAAGATCACTAGACTTTCAGCATTTGAAAATAAGTTATGCTGGTATTAACAGCATGAATAACGTTTGAAACATTTTTTTTATATAATTAAGGGGAGAAGCGTCACATTGATATTTTTAAGGTGAGAAGCGTCACATTGATATTTTTAATATAAAGCTTTAAAGAGCTGTCATTAACTATAAATTTAAACTAAATGATTAAATGGTTAAAATCAGTAAATCCGCTAGAGTTTATTATTATTAAACCTGAGTTTATTATTATTAAACGTCGAAACAACGTCTTAGACTTACTAAACGCGTGTAACGTAGTTTAAAATACTTCGTAGTTTAAAATAAACAATTATTGCCTACGTTACCTTTATATAAATTATATAATTAACTTAAGTAAATATTTTTTGAAATAACAAAGCTGAATGAAATTTCGAACTTATTGGCATTATTTTTTTGAATTTTTAGGAACCAATGTCTGAAAAATGATTTTTCGCAAATCATTTGTTACAATACACTATGCAGTTTTAATACACTTTTATTAAACTTCTTTGCAATATACCAGAAAAAACCGCGAATAAATATTGAGTTCTGCATTCAATTGTGCGGGTAAAATGAAAATAAACTTTCACTTACAAGAGATTTTTAGAGGAATTATTGAGCTGATTTTTTATTATTTACTTTTGTTTAGATTATTTATCACAAGACAGGCCCGTAGCAACCGGATAAGCAGCAGGGGAATTTGCCCCCCAAATAATTTTTCAAAAAAATAATTTTGAAGAAATTGACTAAAAAAATGACAAAAAAAAGTCCTTAAAACTATTTTGGGGTAGTATACTGCCCCCCCCCCCCCCTAATATAATTTTTGTTCTTACGGTTCTGCAAGATTAAAAAATACTGAATTTAAGTTTAATTGATAAAATGAAAGGTATGTTAATTAATGTAATATTTAAAACTTAGAATTTGCGTGCAATAAAACATCAAGTCTATGCTAACTATCACTGAAGTAATAAAAACTTAATAAAGAGTATCAAAAAAACTTTTAATTGAAAATATTAAATTCAGTGATTTGTTTTTTGTAACAGATGGTGCGTTACCTAAATAGACCAGTACTAAACATTTGCCAATCATTTTGTAACAAAATATCTTTTAATAAAGTTTGATCCTTACCAATTAGATATAAATAACCTAAATGATTATAAGCTTAAAAGCTTTTAATTTTTATAAAAAAACTTCAAAAATTGGTATATCACTGCGTAAGTAAAGAAAGTTATTTAGCGCTATAAAAGGTAAATGCATACATTCACAACGTATTAAACACACATACCATAAACTGTGTTAATTATAGAAAAAAAGATGGCGCCTAACTTCATTTTTTTTTTTTGTGCTGTTTCTAAGCCAGAAAATGACTTTAATTTAAAAATAGTAAATTATATTAGTACTTTACGATCAAACCTAATGAATTTTGATGATATACTAGAAATGTCAAAAAAAATTTGTCATTTGAAACGAATATAGGAAGACATATAACAAAAATATGAATGAAATTGAGCAGCTAACCAAAGGACATAATAAAAATACTGGTTCTAGCTTTAAACTTTAAGATAAATTTTGGTATAACACTTGTTATACCAAAATCTTAAAGTTTGTATCAATATTTTATTAATGTGTTTTTATCTATCTGATACGTAATGATTTGAATATATATTATCTTTTTTTGGATATAATAGGTTGGGCTTCATTTATGTGAAGTAGATATCCATATATAAATATAGATACAGTAAATATGGAGCAAAAAAAATACAATAATTGAAATTTAACAACATTTAAAAATCGTGAAATAAATACATAAGTAAATGCACTTGATTTTCAACTATTAATCACAGCATAAAAGTGGATTCCAGTTGAGTTATCAAGAAATATAGAATAATTACTTAACTTCTGAGGCCGTAAACTTCATGGGTAGGTTATCCATTTTGTTTCTGCTCCATATTTGCTGTATACTTGGATATCTACCTCAATAAATGAAGCACATCCAATTACCTCCATATCAGTTGCCCATGTCGCATCTTCAAGCATTTAGTTTTACAAATATGCGTTCGAATTGGCATATTCAAATATCCCGTTATTTCATCCTGTATTTTCTTACCCATATGGTTAACAACTTTGTTTCTAAATGGCTTATGTTCATCTATATTTCCAGTTATGATAAAAGAAACTGCTCAAAAAAAGTACTTTCTTTCTCCTTTAATTCTATGTGCAATAGAAATCTCCTTAGGGCAAAGAGTTAGGTTGATGCTTTTCCAAATTTTTCTGCAATTTTTTTTTTTATATCAAAACGCGCACATTTTGCTACTCTTTCATTTGAAACATTTACACTGTTTTCATGTTGAGTATTATCGTATATGAAGCTTGATTCGACGTTTTTGATTATTGTTTCAGTTTTAACATTATCATAATTTGATAATTTTGACAACATATATGCCAC